CATTATCGGCTAAATACCACAATTAATCCTGATTAATTTTTTTGCCARTGTTGCCCAATCCTAGTTTAGATGGAACACCCAGAGGCCTTCAGTAGTACMGCATAAACAGATTTACCAAACCACATACTACACCTTTAAAGCAAAGTTCTCCCTCTTGATTTATTTTGCACTCAGAGAGTGTGTTGGGTATAACTCTCAGCTACTAGCACACAAAATTTTATCCCAAATTATCTTTTAATCATTAACTAAATTACAGCTTTTCTTTTTAGTTTGGTACAGTCCATTAGCTGTGGTCTTGATTTAAGTTGATTCCAACKGTTAATTATTTGTAAATGTACATTTAATRATTATTTTCTGAGAGATYCATTAACATTTAAGTGGTTTCTAAGATATTTTCTKAACAAACAGATAACTGAATACACACCCAGAGGCATTTACATGATCACCCTGGTTTYGCGGTGGCTGGCGATAATAATAGGGCCGCTTGATTGATTCTAGAGTCGCAACGAAAATGACAAGAATTTTCACTTCACTGCTACATCTGTAAGCCATTCACAGCTGGTGGTTTAACATTTAGTTTTATGATTTGGAACACCATCGGACTGTGCCTCCGCTGCCTCACACACACGCACGCACACACMCTCGCAGAAGAACTTAACAGTGTTATGTATGGTTTCATCGCTCCGTATAGGCCATAATCACCCTCTCTCCATCTCAGTAAGCTCATGCTAAATGACCAGACGTCTCTGGCGGCTGCCGTGATTTGTCTCTCCGTTCATCGTGTCCCCCCCCTCCCCTCTCCCCTCCATCTCCTCCCTCCATCCCTGCCACCATATGTTGTGCCTGTGTGACCGGCCCACGTGTCAGGCCTGACTAACGCCTTAACGGCGAGGCTGACTTTGATTTATTTCCTCTGAAATCTGGGGGCTGAGGGTAATAACACAGAATGACATTATTTGTTTATCAAATCCAAGGCTGCTTTTCTTGGCAGAGTCAAGATGTGATGACTTGATACCAACACCCCACATGCCGTACGAGCATATGCCCCCGCCCCCACCCACCTCAGAATGTTTAATTGCGCCGTCTCTTCAAGGTCTAGCAAGATGCTTAACCTCATCCAAGAGACCGTCCTGAAAATGCTAAAGAGTCTAGAGAAGTAAAAAAAGACTGAGATCAAGGAAAGCAGGGTCTTTTTTAGGCTCAACTTAAGCTCCTTTCACGAAACACTTTCTTACCTTTCCACAGAGGCTTTTTYCCCCTCATCTTTGTATGGTTTATATAAGGACCAAGGTGGGATGAGARGTTGAAGTCAACCTAGAAGTGTTACACATCTGAGCCGCTAAGGGAGGGAATCACAGTGCCAAATCTGTTAATATATAGGATTAAGCCATCTTGACAGCTCRAAAATATGACGTATTGATGACAGATYAGAAAAGACTGACACATTTATGCAYTRAAGCCTCTGAGCTTCACTTAACAGCTCCTTTTTATCTTTATTGTATTAATTGTCATGGGACTTGGCCAGATCTCTTGGGACATTTCCGAACGGCCGAAGGTAGTTTAAAGGGCAGCTCGTCTTTGCATCTACATTTCAGAATCACGTTCTGAAAAGTTCTTTAACACAAGCACACATTTTTATTGTCAAACTGAGTAAAAATACATAACATACTTTACTTAAAAATACAAAAAAAAAAACACTTCACCTCAGCACATCTGTMTCAGGCTTTGCATCGTATCCTGTGATTACAAAAGGGCCGTTGAGTTAGATCAAACTTTGTATTCAGGTGTAGATTCTTAATTTTGCAAGACATTGTAATCCTTGCAAGTTGAATCAAAGCTAATTGGACTTTTTTTGTTGATTCTTGAATACATTTCAAGAATTGAAAAATAAATCTGCTTGCTCTTCTACTTGCCAGGATTAAACCTTACGCCGTCCAGCCATAAGGTCTATCATCCTGTACTTCCACAACATGTTTGTTTCCTTTTGACACATAAATAATACATTGCCCCCACCTTCCCTAAAAAACTGTTAATATTTGATCCATTGAAGGTTGCTCAGGACCTTGGAACCCTTAAGAAGCAGTGTGCAGATCTAATTTTGGCTGTTTGCCTTGGTGTCCGGGAGTGAGTGTTTGTTCAAAACATCACCTTCACCTCCTGTTATCAGCTCTGTGAATAGTATCTCCTAGAACACAATGCTGAGCTGTAGAACCCAATAAAAGAGCAAAAGGCAAGGACAATCTGAAAGACTGCCTGACTGATAACAAAAGTGTCTCACCTAATAATGAAAAACTGGGGTTAGTTTTCTTTTTCGCCTGTGTGAGGAACATCAGACAGGGTGGGGAGAGCGGGGCTTTGTGGGTGTGTGTTGGGTGGGGGTTGCTGCCAGCTCTCGCCAGTGTGTTCTATGGTTAATTGAGGCATTTGGAATAAAACTGCAGGAAAATGGCACCCTTTAGAATTGGAGCAGGGTTAATATATAGTGATCCCACAATTAGCCCAGGATTGTTAAGATCTCTTTAATTCTGTGAGGTCCATTAAGCGAGATGGCTGAGAAAAGTGCTTCCACGGAGACAATTTTTCTCCCCTCTCTTTGTCCGTCCTTTCCTCTCAGCAGCTGCTGTAGTGATCAATATGAATGGACATGGTCGTCTGCTGGTTCTCGGGTTATTCTGCCGTTTTGGTGCCAAATCTCCCTAGAGTCACCCGAACTGATAGTATTGTTTCTTTTGCAAATGTCCAACACACATATTAGCGTGACATTGGTTTTGAAGCTGTGCAGTGTGGTCCCTAAGCTGGCATGGAAAAGCTCACCCTCCTGGACGGAGGTATTATGTTATTTTCTCTCTTGGGAAGAAACCATCACTAAAATTTGCTCTTTACCCCAGTTTCTCCAATCCCCAATTGGCCAATGAGTGCCTCTACTCAAACCACAGCAGCAGTTGCTTCCTGACGGTCATGACTCAGGGTTTTACAAGTGTCTCTCTCAGAATATGAGAGTCCCTTCTCAGTTATCTTTTGGGATACACTGCACCTGTGGGAGCTTGGTGGAATTGGTGGAGGTTTTTGAAACAGGATTGTGCTCACTACATTTGAGCTCACTGTGACCTAAAAAAAAACCCACAGTTCTTTCTAAAGCGTGACATAATAATAATGGTTAGGCAGCCCAGCTTTTAATGTAACTCCCATCTCACAGCAGCATACATGACAATTTTTACCGAATTTAGATTTATGGGTTTAAGGAGGATGGAAACAGTGGATAAAGCTGCGCCATTGATTGGATGGTTGATGAGTATGGACYAAACAGATGGCTGGCTCATTAAAGACTCATTTGTGATCATCTGAAAGGATCCCAAACTTCAATTTCTCATGCAAAGATGTTTGTTTGGGCTAAGCCGAGGCTTCGGCTCTATCAGCTGTTAATACCAACTCGCATAGTGCTCAGGTAATGATTTGGGAAGCTGGAAAATGGCGAGCGTTTCAATAGCACTAAGGTTCCAGCACAGTGGACTTTAAAGCTTCTTGCAAGTAATTAAACAGCATGCTACCTCGTACTGAGCAATTTCCTGCAAGGCATTAGCTTGCCAATGCAGCATGCCCCCTGGTCTACACCAYGTTATCTCTGTGAAATATGTCCCCTTTATCATTTTCTAATAATAACTGAGTGTTTATGTTGGAAGGAAAAATCTCTGCTCAATGAACATTAAATTAGTGKTTTCCTCACTGTTAGCTGGCTTGCCAAAGATATATGGGTAATCTCTAAATGGACATATAAAATCTAAAGTATTAAAAAAGCTGTTGCCACGTTGGTAAAACAGAATTTATTTCAACAAGGATTGATTGTATTGATGGCCCCTATGTCATCATCAAGTGATTATAATCCTGATGTGTGCATGAAGACTGGATTTAATTGAGCTAACAGCAAAACCTCTTGCAAAAAATAGTGTTTATCTTCCCTTAGAATTTACAACCCTTTCACTTTTTTGTCAATGTAAAATAAGGCAATCGAWATATGATCACAGACACATAAACACATTCATGTGCATTGACTTTCATTAACTTCTACAGCTCAACCCTTCCCCTTTGTCCTAACTCAACCTTACAGGTATAAACCTAACCCTAACCCTATCCTAAACTCAATTCACACCTTAGTCCTAAACCTTATCCCCCAAACCAAAAATGGCATCCGCACTCATGGGGACTAGGTTGTTTGTCTGGAAATAGGTCCCCATGATGTAGCAAACAGGCATAAACACACCTCTGTGAAGCGTCTTATCTCCTGTCACTTTTTATATGTATCTACATATGTACATTCTTCCTTTTATATATACATTTGTGCTACACACACACACAGTTGCAGAACTCTTATTGCTTATAAATCTCCAAGCTTACATCTCTCGCTGTCTGTCTCAACGTATTTATTGCTCTTTGACTCATGCGCTTTTAAAGCCTCGACTACTTAAGTCAGCTGCGAGAACAAGTTTTATTTATCAGGAAATGTTGATAGAAACTCTGTCCTAAATATCAGCTGCCAAGCCAGCATTTTAAATCACATTTGTTTAGCATTTAGTGGGATGTAACACCTTACTGAGGGTTGCTTTCGAACATCTTTTGTCTGCAATYCAATTGTTCTTTTCTGTAGCTGAAGATAAAGAAGAGGCAACTTCATCCTGTTGTGTATTTTACTGTTATAAACCTCTCAGTGACAGAACCTGCTCCAAACCATTTAGTCCTCTGTGCTAATCGGCAGTTGAGTGTACTTAAAATATGCACTAATTCTGTTTTCTTGAATACTTCCAGGATGGGGTGGCTGTTGCATAAAAACCAACGTTTACCCAGAATTATTTTCTTTTATATAAACATTGAAAGGTTCTATGCAGCCAGCCACCTCTTTTATCKCTCTAATAAAAATCAGATGCAAATGATCTTGACTAAAATGGCCCATTTTTCTTGTCTTTCTGTGTCTTGTCTTCGGGTTCCTCCTCTTCCCCCTTTCTAAGAAGATAGATGAAGAAAATGAGGCCAACTTACTGGCAGTGCTTACAGAGACGCTGGACAGCATCCCGGTGGATGAGGACGGATTGCCTTCGTTTGAGGCCTTGGCAGATGGGGACGTGACCAATGCCAGTGACCGGAGCTGTCCATCCTCGCCAGACGCCTCGCCACGCACCCCAGAGCCTGAGGAGCCTTCTTTGGTAACTTCAACTTGGTTCGATTCTGAAGGGAGTTTAATTTCATGATATGACCTCCAGAATTAGACACAGTCTGACTTTTTGGCTACTCCACAGCCAACACCAAATTAAGACCGGGCACCAAAAGTGTTCATTGGTCTGTTAGAGCTTCTGATATTGGTTTGCCTCAGTGTGTTGACTGTATGTGTGTTAAATGCAACATGCAGATCCAGAGATGAGACAGAATGGGTTGAGTGTGTTGGCTACTACAAAGCTAGGTCAACTGTTATGAGTCTTTCAATGAAAAAATGTGTGTGGAACAAATATTTCCTATTAAATATTAAAAATATTAATTAATTTGTTCCAATTCTCTGCAAAATCATTCACAACACTCACAATCATGGTCATTTTCAGCATAACAGAGGCATTATGCCTGCTTAACAATGCTGCTAGAAGCATTGTGTGGTGAAAAATTAATGAAGCAATAAATAATAAAGGCAATGAACTCGGTTTCTGCTAGACACCCACCTCTCTGAAAAGTTGCGGCTGACATGGGAGACAGCATTGGGGTGAAGGAGGTGTGAGCAGTTATTGTTTGGAGGGAGAATCCTCTGCCATTACGACTTCAAGGAAATCATTAGGGGGGCTTTTTGTCCTAGTRAGTTCTGCACAACCTCACGTTCAGGCAGCAAAGGCACCCCACTGGCACAAGAAACCAGTTCATAGTCATTTGCTTCTGCCTGCGCATCGAAATGTCTCAAATACACGATAACGTCGTCCCCGTACAGATTTATGCTGCGTGAAACAGCTTTGTTGGTGTGATGTTGCACAGAAGTTTTGCCCTTTTCGCCACCACATGTTGTACCCCTCTTTGGTGGCACTGGAAGTGAACGCCTCGAAGTTCTCCACAGGAGACGCAGCTCATGTGGCAGCAACACCTCAGGCCCACTGCACTGACAAAACCACGCGGGGGGTGGCGGGGGGTGGCAAGGAACACGCAGCTGAGTGACTCATGTGCCAAGTGGGCAAATAACGTGCAAAGGAAAATTTGTATTCAGAAAAACATTTGCACTCATTTGCATGTAGTTTCAGAGTGTCGACTGTTATTTAAGAACACTTATTGAAGAATATTTACACTCAAAGCAACTGTACAGTAGAACGGGGAGAGCTTGTTAAAACAGAAGCTGCATTTTTTTTCCTTCAGTGTTTCTGTACAGATCTGAAGGTGATGACATTTCAGGTGACTCCATGTGTTCGTGGTGTTTTTTCTTTTGCCTTTTTTTAACTTGCAGGTATTACATTTGGGTCTTTTTCCCCCTTTCCTTATTCAATCTCTCTTCTAGAAAATAAACCAAAGGTCTTCAAAACTGAGCTCCAACAATTTTGTCCTCCATTTTTGTTGTTGACTATTGTCTCAAGCATAACTGAAGTTGTTAAGTGAACCGTCGCCCAATCACAGATCTTCCCCCGGCAGGATGAAAGCAAACTCATTGGACCTTATAACTGCTTATAGTGGGACTCTTAACCCTAACTGTTTTGTCTACAAATGCCTTTATGTCAAGGTGTACAGACACTAAGATAGGGTTGGGCATTGTCACCAAAACTGATCACGATTCATTGTGACAGTTAGCTGATAACAATTAATAAGATGATCAACAGATGACAGTTGCACTTGCATGTAGCCAACTTTGTGGTCTTGGTCCGTATTTACTGGCTTTTCTTGTACCCCAGTTTATGTTGGTGTTTCARGTGATTAAACAAGTTTGTAGGGTTAGGGTTAGCRTTATCTGCTTTACATTGCCTTCCACCATTGGGTTCACTTGCACGCCTGGTAGTGATAGTGGGTCCCACACAMAAATACATCATCACATGACAGTAATAGCAGTAATTGCAGAGTGGCAGGTATTAATTGTTGACATTTGTTCTGATGATTAATTGCAAATGATACAGTTTTGCCCAACCCTACACTAAGGTGTTAAAACATTTCGATTTGGGCCTTCTTTTTAGTCAGAATGTGTTCCTGACTATTATACAACTGATTTAAGTGGAACTATAAATCTAATTCCAGAGTTGTTTGTTCTTTGTTTWGWTTTTTTCTTTTYCCCCTAAAAATAACACCTCATTTCTATAATCAAACAGACGTTGCTTTGAAAAATATAAGTATTCCCAATGTTCTCATGGATAGTTTTTAAAAGTTAGCATTCGTACGCTGCCCAGCTGACTGTCCTTGAAGGTCTGGGTATATCAATTTGATTGACACAAGTGTGTAGTGTTAAATATTTCCCACTTTTATTGTTRACAGCAACACTGTTCTACCCACAGATGTACTTACTTGATAATTGGCTAAGTATGYTCAGATATTGCCAATGGATGATTATTTTAAAAATGGCAAATATCTGCTTAATTAATCATGCGGTCAATTATTTGGCTTTCCTCCGCTGTAGTGGAGCCAACTGTAGTTTACACGCTGCTACAGGCACTGAATAAAAGCTATATCATTACAGTAAAGAAAATTAGAAATCCTTAGCCTCCCATYTCTCCCCCAGTGAATCTCAACTGATCCTTCAGGACAAAGAAAAGAGACRGACCTCTAATTTTAGACCCACCCATATTTGTACTATTTGTACTCGTGATGTTACTACCTGGATATTTTTCTGGCTTTGCTGCCTTAAGCTAAAATGTTTTGTTTTTTACGTTACAGACTGTTCTGTTCCATGACGGTTCTTTGCCAAATGACCTTTCTGAAAATGCCTGATTGTGTTTACTCAATCACACAAGAAACACATGCTTTTGTGTATACAACAACACCTATGCAAGAAGGAGAAAAAAACAGATTTCTTATTTTTTTAGTAAACTGTACAACTGTTTAGTCTTTTAAATGTATTTCAAATKACAAAAGTGTGTTTGTAAAAGCAGTCAAAAGATTTAGAACACCCTCATTTTTCCAGATTTTATTTAAAATTCAAGCAGATCGAGTCTAATGAGCAGCTTGAAACGGTTCAAAGATAAGGGCTGAACAGCCAGAGGTTTTAAAAAAATTAAGTCAGTGTGTCTGAGTCAAGTTTTCTTCACCTTCACAATTCAGTCAGAAACTGGTGTAAACTGACAGAAAGAGGTGTGGCAGACCCAACACTGCATGCGTTGTGATGGTGAAGGAAACTGTACTCGCCTCGACTTTCAATTTGGGGTAACCTTACATTTTTATAAACCTCAGTTCAGCACTTAACTTTGTACCCTTTCAAGCTGTTCATTGGACTTAAGTTGTTTGAATATTAAATATCAAAAACTGGAAAAATTCGAGTGTGCTAAAACTCTTGACCAGTAGTGTGTGTAAACATATGTATATATTTAGCTGTAGCTTCAGTTTAATTATTGCACATTTATAAATGCAGACTGTATAATTGAAAGGAAATGGTCATTTGCATAACCCAAGCCCCCCCCACCCCCCCCATTCTTCTCCCCACCTTTCCGAATCTGTTTGGGTCCATTTGCAGCTGAAGAAGCTCCTTCTGGCACCCGCAAACTCCCAGCTCAGCTATAATCAATACACAGGTGGCAAGGCACAGAACCATGCAGCCAGCAGCAACCACCGGATCAGACCACCACCTGCCGTCGTCAAGGTGGGGACACACACACACACACACACACACACACACACTTCTGTGCGCAAGCACACACAAAATTCCCATATTGCCTCGCAGCTTCTTTCATTCCTGTCTGTACAGTTTTTTATTTCTGTTTGTTTATCTCTCTCGTTTTGCTCGATCTCTCTGCCTTGTTTCTTTCTCTCCCTCTCGCCTTGTCACATTTTTTTTTTTTGTTTTGGTGGTCGCTTTAGAAGACGATAGGCTACTGCTTTAGCAGTCTACAATCCCAGGAGGCTGTCTCGTAATGAAAACAGGCTGATTGCTGTTGGGCTTTGCAGGCAAAGAATCAGCACTGTTGTCTCATTAGCCTCAACACTTATACAACTTGGTGTGGTGCCTGTTAAAAAAAGAAAAAGAAAGCAGGGAATAAAGGAAAAAAGAAAAACAGCGACGGGCACTTTTGCGGCAAGATTGATGTCTTGAGATGACAAGATCAAAACATCAGATGTGATGTTCTCATTAGATGTTTTGAAGAGTGATTTTATTCAATAGGGATGGGTTAATTAAGTTGAGTTTAGTCTGCACGAGTATCATAAGTTGTGAATGTAAATAAATTAAATATATGATTTTATTTTTGTCAGAATCCGTCACAGTGTACGTTTATGTAGCACTTGGCAAAAATATCTTGATTTACTGAATGCTTTAAATGATCAAAATAATTTTTAAAAAAAATCTGTATTTGATGATACGTATTATATGGTAAACCAGCACAGACAGATTTGTAGTTAATCTACATAAAGTGTTTGCACATTCCGTGASTCAACCTTCCTTACCGTGTCTATTTTCATACCGTACCTTTGAGTCATCCATTTCTGGAGCAAAGCGAAAGAGGATTCCTGGAGGACACCGTGTGCATACAGAGTGGTGTGCTGGTGCTCGAGGTGGGGGCACACAATTAGGATGATGGGCAGACAACCCTCCCGCCATCACCTCCCAGACTTATGGGTGACTACTGTGCTCAAACCGTCCGAGTCAGTGTTGTAGGCTCCATCTCTTTCTAGTTGTACCAAACTGAGTACTAAAASTGACATGATACATTTATTTTTACCAGTCTCAGTAAAACAGATTAATATTTAYGGATCGTCACTTTCATAATGAAGTCGAAAATTGTGTTTTTCTAATTGTCACAATTGAAAAATGAGTAAAGGAAGACGTTTTCTAAAGCACTCTACTCTAAAGCAAAGCAAGAATGGCTGGTGAAGTTGGATGAAGATGAAGGGCGGATTACAAACAACTTGTTCGTAAAACATGTACAAACATTTTTTGTGAGATATTTAATATTTAATATTTTGCTATATATTACCCTTTTATTGGCCTCAAGTTTGGCAGCATGACGGTTCAGTGGTTAGCACCGACGCCTCACAGCAAAAAGGTCCGGGGTTTGATCCCCGGTTCRGACCTGGGGTCTTTCTGTGCGAAGTTTGCATGTTCTCCTCGTGCTTGCGTGGGTTTTCTCTGGGTACTCCGGTTTCCCCCACCCCCCAAAACATGTACAATAGGTTGCCTTCAGGCCCAGGCCGCCCTTGAAAAAGAGATCTGAGATCTCAATGGGACTTGCCTGGTAAAATACCGGTAAATAAATAAAAATAAAAGTTTAGACTAAATTATTTGTAATAAACACTCCATTTTGTCCAATTTTTCAGAAGGATAATACCTTTCCTTTACAACAAATTTACCAGTTGACAAATCCAACCTTACTATAAACAGCCTCCAATTACCAAAAGTGTTTTGTTTTCAGTTTTGTGAGAGTTATAAGTGAAAGTGAAAGTTTATAAGTGAAAAGAAACCCTACCATTTCGCTTTTACTTGTTTCCCTGTTGTACCAAAACTATATTGAGCTGTTAACCAAGGTACATTCTATGATTTATGTAAAAAAGGAGCTGTATAGCTACAGTCTATTTACCATTAAGTTGGAGCCAACTTAGCTTTTGTTTCTGTTTGTTGCTGTTTTGCATAGACGGAGAGCCCCTGGAATGGCAAGGCAAGAGGGGGCCCCAGCCAACAGAACCGCCCGGTGAGGCGGCCGTGCACAGAGCTGCTGAAATACCTAACAGCCACAGATGACATCCTGCTCAACACCAAAGCCAGTGAAGCCAAGAGCGCCTGGGGAGGTTCCAGTAGCAGAGACAAGAGTGGCCTGGGTCTCTGTGCCTCTTCCTCCTCATCGCCATCCTCCTCTTCCACCTCCTCGTTCTCCTCCTTATCCTCCACTTGCTCTTCCTCTTCTTCCTCCGCCACTTCCAAGAAGAAGTCCGCATCTCAACAGCAACAGCAGCAGCAACAGTCGCCRCAGCAGCATCACCAGCGAGGTGAGAGCCGGGCTGCAGGCGAGTGTAGTATGGCTGGTCATGGGGATGGGAAATGGCCGCGTTGCACTCTCRATGACGGGGTTGAGGAGTCGGAAGGTGCCTCTATCCCCGTTGGCCGCAGAACCTACACCTGTGGTCACGCCTGCCCCAAACCGCAGCATGGGCCACCCAGTGAAGAAGGACGGCCGCCAGGCGATGTTGGCCGCCTGGCCGCCGCTAGGTTTATTAGGTATATGCATTCTTATTCCCTCCCTCCCCGAGAGGTGAGTCACAGCTGTGAGCATTGCCGAGAGGCTGCAGTCGCCACTCAGGCGAGTGAAGGCTTTGGCAGACAAGGCCGCAGTAACAGTAGTGGTGTCAGCCTTGCACCATGTAGGCAGAACTCAGTGACAATTAGGAAAAGAGGCATTAAGCCGGGGCACCCTTTACTTAGTCAGCTGCTCACCTCTAAACAGAAGCCCACTCAGTAYTGTGCCAAACTACCCCAACCCACAATTAACCCTTTACATAGCACCAAGAGCAAATCAGCTGGTAAGAGTTCTGATAGCCAGGTTAAGTTTTTTCCAAAGATGAAACAGAAAGAAGTCAGAAGAACCACTAATTACAGAAACCAGGCGGAAGAGACAGAACTCTTGTTGTCATCTCCAGAATTAGACCTAGGGAGCTGGGACAGCCAAGTAGCTCAAGGGCTAGAAATGGGTTTTGGGCTAGCGCTGGGGTGGCCAAACAAGGAGGGCTCTGGGGAGGATGTTGAACAAGATGATGATGGTGTTGTTGATGATGTTGATGATGACCATGTCATGGGCAGCCCTGCAACGGTGCTCTCACAGGCCCGACCAAGCCCGCTCATTCCAGATACTAGCAATGCAGAACCCACCCCTCCCTCCATCATACAAGTGCAAGGGCAGCCACACAGGCAGGCATTCAGCGAGCACCCCGATGACCAGGGCCACCCATTGTTAGGTAATCATGACTGCACCCCCCACCACCCCCACCCTTACCACCACCACTGGTCTTATCTCTGCTCTTTTCTTCTCCCTATGCTGCTTTAACCACTTCCCAGTTTGATTTCATCACTAACCTGTAATCTAATTTGAGTCTAACTGTCATTCTGAGGGCGTAAACACCAATGWCCACAAACAGCCTGCTCGCCAAAGCTTTTGTGCCAGCCCTGAAAGCATTTTTTTAAATTTACAGGGTGCATTTTAGGAAAAGAAAATATGGGGGTGGAAAAAGGGGGTGAGCCTTGTCTTGCTGCAATACAACCTATATTTACAGTCAACTCTTGAACTATCTTTGGCTGATTGAGCTGAGTGTTCTGAATATACATTTAGACTCAAAGCCCAGATGCTGTTTTTTAGCATTGCGCTGCGCTACCAAAGCTGCATTCTCTCAGCTGAAGCACAAGTCGGCCAAAGCCTCAGGCAACTGCACAAGCTTCTTTGACTCTCCTTTCTTCCTTCTTTTTTCCCCCCTCCTTCTGCTATTGGTGCATGCGATCATGACTTTTTTGTGTAGGGAGGGGCTCACCCACTGTCACGTGTTTTGTTTTGTAGCATTTGTCTTTGTATGTTTTTACTCCATTATGATCTGTTTGTTGTCAAGCGCAGTCTGTTTTGTGTATAGACACCTGTGAAACCATCAGTCCACCCTGCCTTACATAGTGAACAGTGTCCTAAGAGAATAAATTGTAAAATGGGGTCAATTTAATCAGYTCTACTTTGTGTAACAGTGTCGTTAGAATGACCGTTTAAGCAGGGATAGGTGTTTCTGTAGCATTGAGTGTTTTTGTTGAGACARTTTGAGATTAAATGTTTTGCAGAATGTGGACTTTTTCTCTTCTGCCATAAATGCTAGATCAATAATTACCCATGCTCCTTTGTGTTCTGCAGCCATACCAACCACCTTGCCACTTCCTTTGACCCCAGAGTCTCCAAAGTAAGTGTGAGAAGTTTTTCCACATTTATGTAGGCAGAAAGCAGCAACAAACTACAGCAACAGAAAAAAAAAGCCAACAAGCAATCTGAAATTCAAGTTGAGGCATTTTTTGTGACTCATTTCCATTTTCTTAGATCACCAAACTTTTTTAAAAACTTTTTTTCCCAAAAAAGTCTAATTTAGTTTTTTGTTTTTTTTTCTTCTTCTCTGTCTTCCAGTGACCACAAAGGATCACCATTTGAGAACAAAACCATTGAACGCACATTAAGTGTGGAGATTGCTGGAACTCCAGGTAAGCTCATTTTCTGGTTGCCTAAAATCTAAACCACCATAAACACCAAAGAATTTTAATTTACAGCTTATAGATCAGGGCTGGGAAACTTAAATRATGAAAGGAGTTACAATTTCTTTGTTGATGCTACCAGAGGGTCACATMGTGTTGAACACTTAACCAAATGTAATAAAACTTCCCTTTTTTAAATAACATTTTTGTTTATATATTTATTAAAGCAGCATACAGTGCAGGAACATAACATATTTCTTGCTCAAACAGATGTATAGCAATTGCACTTTTGTTCAAAAAATATGAATACAAAACAGTTGAAGCAAACAAAAAATAAACACTTTAGCGAGTTGAAGTGCAATGGTCTAAGACACTTTAAGTGCAGACTCCCGATTTGGGGRAGTTCATTGGGCGAACCAGACTGAAATCACCTGTCAGCCACAAGTTGTATATATTTAAGGGTCAAAGGTCAGCAGTGAAAACAAGATCGTTTAAATACACTGCATTACTGATTTGCTATTCTACACAAGKCCTCATATTTATTTTTTAAGTGTATATGCTTTTTCTTTTTGGGATCCTGATGTTATCTGAATGTTAATTATTTAATTTGGTAGTTTTACCCATACATTTATTCAAAATGTATCATCTAAGGTCAATAACAATAAACTGTCTGCCCTTCAGCCCCTGAAAGTGGCCCTTTTAGGTATTCATTTACCAGTAAATGGAGGAGTCCTGGGTTTACCTTGTGTCTAGCCCCTGCAGTTTTACTTACGGGGAGTAGAAACTCAAACCCCAAGAGGTTTCCGTCTTTAGTCTGTATTTGTTTAAAGTGATGTTTAACCCCTTTTTGTACAGATAAGCTTTCAGAGTCAAATGAGATGCCTGTTGACAATTAAAGGACAGAGCAGTGCTCCTTAAATCTTGCGGGGCAATCAAGTTCAGTTAATATTTCCTCGTGTTTTACTGCCCGAGGGCGAGTCTRTTTGACCCGTGGCCAGATTTATGCATTTGTTCAGCACCCATTTCACAAGCACAATCACATAAAGCCCTTCACCTGACATTTTCTATTCTGGGCGAAATTTGGGATTGAATATTAGCAGGAAAGTCATTAGTCCCRAAAGCTTAGCGTTACTGAGCCACCAATTCGTAGTTAGAGATTAGCTTTGGAGGCTCATGCTGTATGAGACAAATGGATATAGATCCTAGTAAGCGCTGGCGTAAGCTATTATGCGTTCTTTGTAGATTTAGAGTAACATTTCATCACACTAGAGATAATAGTGGTGTTACAGATAATCAGGCGGAGGTTAGTCAAGTGCAGGGTACTACTTTAATAGCAGAACAATTGTGCACATTTTATGCCTTTATGACCAGTTGGCGTAGTAGTTGTTTCAACCTTTACAAATTATAATGAGCCAAATTATGTCAAAGAGCAAATAAAGGTAACATATATGCCTTTGTGTTTGTTTGACCCTACTCTGAGAGGGACTGTAAAGGCTACAAAAGGCAGAGAGGCCCCTTGGGATGCAACTGTTCAGGTCTAATCTCTGCCTAGCTAATAGATTTACTCTGTACTGCTGTGTTGTCTTTAATTACTGTATCTCATGACACAGAGGTGGTCTGTGTGTTGCTATTTGCATAGCTTACTGCAGGATCAACCCTTTAAGCCYGGAGTTGTTATTCAGTCTGTGGTCTCCTCGCGATTTATAGCTGAAAAAGAACAATAAAAAAAGAGAGCGAGAAGATAAAATTCTCTTCTTTCTCACTCACTTGTTCTGCCGTTTTCTCACTGGTGTCTGCATGATTGGTGTTTGTGTCTGCAAATCATCCATCAGTTGCAAGTTTGACTGAGAGGCACATATTTATCTAACTCTGATTTATTTCACCGCCATTGCTAATGGCTCCTAGTTTATGATCCCATGCACAAATGGTTTCGGACAGATGGTGCTTCACTGATGAAACATTTTTTTTCAGGCATTGTCTAACATCCGCTTTTCCTTCCTCCTAGCTCCTTTTTTAATTGGCATAATGCATATATACAGTGTCACTATCAGCTGTGCGAGATAAAAGAGATTGATAGGGGAAAAGAGGGGAAAGGAGGGGTCTTGGGTGCTCACAGTCCTCAGAGTCACATCAAGGCAATGATGATAACCCATTGGCTCATGCATTCCAAACAAGTTACTTCAGACACAAACACATTTATGTGTCAGGCTCTCCCGCCGAGCTGTCTCACCGATGTACATTCCAACACTGGATTTGATACTAATAGCTGTCATTTGGTAAAATTCAGTGGCACGTGGGGGAGTGGGGGGGAATAATGTGGATTATAGGAATGACAAAGAACAGAGAGTGTAGGTGTTTGAAAGTGCCTGAGTTTGACTCCGGTGAGAGACTATTGGTGACAAGTGTGCTTCTGTGTGTGGGCACATTTGTTCTGTGTGAGATAGAAACAGGAAAAGATGAAGAATGACAGAAAGGGGTGGGGTGGAGATGGATCCAGGGAAGATGGCAGATAAGGGAAGAGGGGAAAAAAGGGTAGAACACCAGACTAAAGAAAGAAAGAGGTGGAACGAGAGAATAAAAGTAATGGCGGCGGCTGTTTGTGTGAGTGCGGTAACAAAGCTATAAAGTGGGCTCATCTCAGGACTTCCCATATAACTGCCATCTGTCTGGTTATAAATCTGTAGAAGGCGAGGGAAGAGATGGAGGAATTGGGCAGGTGGGGGT